TTTTGCAGGTATGCTTAGAAATACGTGTACTTCAAGATGATGGTAAAATAATAGATTATAACACAACGTTTTTGAAAAATTTAAAAAAAATTATTTAAAAATACAAAATTTAAAAATAAATCATAAAAATCGGTGAAATTTATTTGGAATGAACCTGAATTTCGAAATGTGGAAGGAAGAATCAAATAAGTTAATAAAAAAGAGATTAATAAATAGATACCAAACTCAATTAACATTGAGGAACTAAAATTTTGAGATCTATTTTTTCAAAAACTACTCTTGGATTTTTACAAAACTTCGTACTTTGGCGTAATTTGAGTCGTAGAATGGAAATATGTAAAAAAAATTGGTATATTATTTCAGAAAAAGTTCGGTTTTATGTCACGATACCTCTATTAGAACAAAGCTATATATAAATCTAATACATATCCTAAGTCGCGCTTTTGAGAGATGAAAAGCGCAAGTTGAATTTTGTCAATCGGCCCAGTAGAACGGGAGATATAGAACTGTCCCAATTCCCTCCCCCCCCGCAGTGTACCTTACAGAATTCATGATCTGTAATGTAATTATATCACGAATAATAAAAGCTTGGATGGATATGAAATCTATTCAATTCTAACATCGCAGACGAATTCTGTAAAGAAAATTATTTAATACATTCTTCCCATCAAACGATATGATAAATTATTTCACTCCCTTTTTTCCTTATTACTTATGTTTATTTCATTATTACTTCCTTGTACGAAGTAAAAAGGAAGTATTGTAATCGCGAAAAGTTTCAGGCAACATATTTCAACGAAAATATCCATTTTGACCGCTATCGAATGCTATTTAACGATGTTTTTGCGTGATATCTGTGCGTAAGGGCAGAATAAAAGACACCTTTCCTCCAAAAAAAATTATAAAACTGCTTTAAAATGAATTCTAAAGAGAATTTTTCGTGGCGTCTGTACGAACGTATGTACGTACGTACGTATCTCGCATAACTCAAAAACGAGTGGCCTCAGAACGTTGAAATTTTGTATATAGGACTGCTATAACATGTAGATGTGCACCTCGTATTTTGGTTGCAATCGGCCGCACCAAACGTAAATAAATATATTTATATATATTCCACTCTGTTACCCGCTCATGATCTCAGTATATTTACTCTTATATGTTTGTAAATTGTACATTTTTTGCTTTAAAAATGATTGAATTATGTTGTTTTTATCTTCCGGTTAAGGTTTTTATGCCTTTTGTAAATCTGGAAGCAATACTTGTACAATATCAACAATTTAAAGCTGTTTAAGTGCGGTTAAGTTTTAAATAACGGGGATATTTTGTTTACATTTGAAACACAGAATTGTAGATTTGTTGCCAATCTAGAGAGACTAAGCTTCGACCAACAAAAATAACGCCTTCATTTATTATTGCGAATTAAATCATGCTTAATCCTTTCTGGAATTTTTTCGAGGAAATAAGTGTTTAAGATTTACTTCGTAATTTTTAATATAGATATTTTGAGTTTTTATGTATTTTTGCCTTCTTGCGAAGTGAGAATTGACTTAATTAGATGAGAAATACTCAATCGTGTGTGAAAAACTGTTCTTTTCTGTTTTGTTTGCTTAATTTCTTTCATACATCGTTTTAGCTTTATTATAGTATTTGAATAAAACATGTGGCAACGTTAATTCTTCAAATGATATAAATTTTGTGCATTCAGAGTGTCGTTAGGTAAACAAATATAGTGAATTTTAAAGAGTGCATTTATTCTATTGTGGTTTATGCGCTGTCGACGAAGTAGATTTAATTCAATTCAATCAATTTAAATGAAATTCAAGAAAAAATGCGTATAATTTAATATTGCGTACTAGGAAGTCATATGGTGTACACATCAGATTTTTTTATAAAGTTTAAATGAAAGGAGTTTAGTTTCCAAAAAAAATTAATAATATCTTTTATTTTATTAATTCTTCTAAAAGTGGATAAAATGTTTATGAGCTTACCTTGTACGAAGTAAAAGAAATATTGTGATCGCCAAAAATTTCGGGTATCATGTCTCAACGAAAATAGCTATTTTGACCACTCACGAATCCATCTGAAAGATATTTCTGCGTGTCATCTCTACGTAGGGATAATAAAAGACTTTTTACTTCCTTGTACGAAGTGAAAAGGAAATACTGTAATCGCGAAAAATTTCGGGTATCATAGTTCAACGAAAATGTACATTTTGACCGCTATCGAATGCAAGTTAACGAAGTTTTTGATGTGATATCCGTACGTAAGGACAGAATAAAAGACTCATTTCCCAAAAAAAAATTATCAGACTGATTTAAAATCGATTCCGAAGAGATTTAAAATCGATTCTGAAGAAATTCTTCTACATACATACGTATGTATCTCGCATAATTCAAAAACGAGTAGCCTCAAAGTGTTAAAATTTTGTATGTAGGATTGCTATAACATATTGTTGTGCACCTCCTATTTTGGTTGCAATCGGGAGCGCTAAAAGTATATACATATATATCTCCGCTCTGTTACTCGGTTCAGTAAGCTCAGCTTCTTTATTGTCATACGTTGGTAAATTGTACATTTTTTGCTTTAAAAATGATTGAATTATGTTGTTCTTATCTTCAGGTTAAGGTTTTTATGCCTTTAGTTAACCTGCATGTTATAGTTGTAGAATTATCAACAATTTAAAAATTATTTAAGTGCGTCTAATCCTAATTTGTTTGGCCATAGCAGCCATATTTGTTTACATTTGAAACTTAGCAGAATAGTAAACTTGTTGCCAATGTAGAGAAACTAAGCTTTGCCACAACAAACATAACGCCATCTTTTATTACTGCAAATTAAATCATGCCTAATCAATCCGTTCTGGAATTCAAGGAAATAAATGTTTAAGATTTACTTCATAATTTTTAATATAGATATTTTGAGTTTTTATGTATTTTTGCCTTGTCGCGAAGTGAAAACTTAATTAATTGAATGAGAAATACTGAATGATCTGCGAAAAACTGTTTCTTTTACCCACCGTTTTAGATTTATTATAGTATTTGAATAGAACATGTGGCAACGAATAGGTAATTCTTCGCGTGATATTCATAATATTTGTTCAATTTGAGTTATAAAATGAATGAGGTGTAACTCTGTTAAGGGAACCTATCGCTAGTGTGTCGCTATGGTAAACAAATGTAGTGAATTTTAAAGAGTGCATTTATTGTATTGAGGTTTATGCGCTATCGATGAAGTAGATTTAATTCAATAAACTTTAATGAAATGCAAGAAAAAATGCGTATAATTTAATATTCCGTTCAAGGAAGTCATTTGGTGTACACATAAGATATTTTACAAAATGGGTTCAGAAGAGATTTTTTTCCTGATGTCTTTACGTACATTCGTACGTATATCGCATTCAAAAACGGGTAGCCGTAGAACGTTGAAATATATGGAACTGCTAATACTTGTAGAATTATCAAAAATTTTTTAATTTTTTAAGTGCTACTAAACCTAACCAAGCCGCCATTCGTTTACATTTGAAACTCGTAGTAGAATAGTGAATTAAGTCAGTTTGTGCATCAACTTCAGTGTGTTTTTGCCCTTTAGTTATCACTTATGTAGGGGGGGGGAGTTTCTAAACCTTCTTGAGAAACACATTTAAACGTATAGATATGTTTTCAGGTAATTGCAAATCAAACGTAAGAGTTAGGAAAAGGCCAACACTGTAACTCATGTCTAGCAAATAAAGTATGTTCGACAGTGCAATTTTGTTTAAGATGTGTTTAAGATATTCTCAATGATCAGCGAAAAATCGAAAATTAATTACTTTTTCATCTCTTTCAGAAACTTTACCGTTTCATCAATACTGTGGAATTGGTTTCCCCACATCATTCTGTGAAAGAAATCATTTCGAACCTTAAAGAAGGCCAGATTGCTAGCCTTTTTCAGAAAAGCGTCAAAAAGGTAACGTTCTGATAGTAATTATTACATTAACTTAAGTAACTTAATTTCTGAGAATTCATTTTTCTTTGGCTCTGTTTCTTAGCGCTCTTCAAAAACAATAATACATAAGTTTATTATTTCTTCCTTTGGGAATAGGAAATCTTTTAGAATTTACTTTCACTTGCTGTTACTTTTCACTCATTTGTTGCAATCAAATCTAAGAAAAAGAGATTTTTTAAAAGCTTTTATTTAAAACTCATAAAAGAATCGATGAACAGCAATGCTGAAAAATAATTTATCAAATATTTTAATGGGAACAGTGTTACAGAATTTATGTTTTATATCAGGAATAAAAAAAGATTGGATGAATATGAAATCTATCCATTCAATTGTATTTTCAAATTAATCATTCTTTTTATAAATGTGTCAAGGTATTACGATATAAAATTGCAGACGATTTCTGGAAAGAGAATTATTTAATATATTCTTTCCATCAAACCATATGATACTTTATTTCATTATTTTTATGAAATTAAAATGAAAGGAGTTTTTCCCCAAAAAATTAATACTTTTTACTTCCTTGTACGAAGTAAAAAGGAAGTATTGTAATCGCGAAAAGTTTCAGGCAGCATATTTCAACGAAAATATCCATTTTGACCGCTATCGAATGCAATTTAACGATGTTTTTGCGTGATATCTGTACATAAAGACAGAATAAAATACTCTATTCCTTCAAAAAAATTATAAAAATGCTTTAAAATTAATTCTAAAGAGAATTTTTCGTGGCGTCTGTACGAACGTATGTATGTACGTACGTGCGTACGTATCTACCCCCCCCCCCCCCCCCCCCCCACCCCCCCCCCCCCCCCCCCCCCCCCCCCCCCCCCCCCCCCCCCCCCCCCCCCCCCCCCCCCCCCCCCCCCCCTCCCCCCCCCCCCCCCCCCCACCCCCCCCCCCCCCCCCCCCCCCCCCCCCCCCCCGGCCCCAAACGAAAATTTTGTATATAGGACTGCTATAACATGTAGATGTGCACCTCGTATTTTGGTTGCAATCGGCCGCACCAAACGTATATAAATACTATATTTATATATATATCCACTCTGTTACTCAGCACAGTGATCTCAGTTTCTTTACTCTTATATGTTTGTAAATTGTACATTTTTGCTTTAAAAAGGATTGAATTATGTTGTTTTTATCTTCCGGTTAAGGATTTTATGCCTTTAGTAAATCTGTGTGCAATATTTTTAAAATTATCAGCAATTTTAAATTTGTTTAATTGCCGCTAAGCCTGTTTTTAATGGCGGCCATTGATGTTTACATTTGAAACAGGAGACTAGTGGATTTGTTGCCAATCTAAGAGAAACATAGCTTCGCAACAACAAAAAATAACGCCTTCATTTATTATTGCCAATTAAATCATGCTTAATTCTTTCTGGAATTTTTCCGAGGAAATACGCGTTTGAGATTTACTTCGTAATTTTTAATAAAGATATTTTGAGTTTTTATGTATTTTTGCCTTCTCGCGAAGTGAGAACTGAATTAATTCAATGAGAAATACTCAATCGTCTGTGAAAAACTGTTTCTTTTTTGCTTTGTTTGCTTAATTTCTTTTATACATAATTCTAGCTTTATTATAGTATTTGAATAGAGCATGTGGCAACGATTAGATAATTCTTTAAATGATATACATTTTGTGCATTCTGAGTTATAATATGAATGAAATATAATACTGTTAAGTAAGCCTAGCGCCAGAGTGTCGCTATGGTAAACAAAGTGAATTTTAAAAGAATGCATTTATTCTACTGTGGTTTATGCGCTGTCGGCGAAGTAGGTTTAATTCAATCTAATAAGTTTAAATAAAATGCAAAAAAAAAAAAAAAAATGCGTATAATTTTAATATTCCGTGCAAGGAAGTCATGTGGTTTTTTAATTTTATTAGCCCAGAAGAGCTCTTAATTTCGTTTTGATATTTTGCGTCGATTCACTTTTCAAACTGTTGCTACCAAATATTACAGCCCCATATTATATTTAAAGAAATTAAATAATGAAGAATTTGCATAAATGTATGTTTCTTGCATGTTGATAAAACAGCGATACTTAGAGCCATTCAATTTTGAATATCGTAATCCTTCACCGAATATGGGCATTTAGAAGCCCAAATTTAGAATTTGTTTTTTTTATCTATTTCATATTTTGTCAGACATTAAAGAATTTTTTATTAACAAACTCAACGAATTCAAAACCAGGACGAAAAAAAAAATATTTTTATCTCCGGCGCGCGAGACTCTGTATCGGAAATTCTAAAGTTACGCTCGCTTTAAAATTTGCTGTTGAATTTAATTTTATGGTTTAAGTGCGAAGAACATGATATTTAATAAAGAAAGGTAACACCCAAAACATTAAAAAAAAAAAGCGCCTTTGTGCGTAATATTCAGATGTTTATTAGTTTTTATTGTATTCTTTAATTTTTTTTAATTTTAATTCTTGTTTTAAAAGTGAATAAAATGTTTCGTTTTAATTCTTTGTACGCATTCAAATATAAATTATGTGTAAAATATTATGAATTTTGTACATATATAGATGATTTTAGCGCAATTATACGTGAAAATGTATTTTTCTGTATCACTTTATTTCTGTATTACGTTACGCTATGTAACCCCGCAGTATCTTAAGTTATGTTACGCTACGTTACCCGGCACTATGTTACGTTACGCTACGCTACACTACGGTTCATTACCCCGCTCTACGTTAGACCTCATTACGTTACCCTCGCTACGAAATATTTGATAAACTTTGATAACTTTTGATTTGAAAAAACATAATATTTGATAAACGTTTGTACTTTTTAAACTCATTGAGTGATTTCACGATATTTTATATCATAATTTCGTATTTATATGTTTATTTAAGGAAGATATGCGTATTGAAACTGTTGCTTCAACAAAACTTTGGAAACTTGCATGAAAGCATTTTTACATATTTGATAATTTTTTCTGTTTTTCAAGAGCATTAAGGAATTTTACGTGACCAGCCGCAAATAAAAATGCGTCTTTGCAAGTGGTCGCCTTAGAGAGATGATGCTCAGTACCAATATATACTCACGTTGTGAGAAATACGTTCATCTTTTAGAGGTGATCTCGTCTTAGAGAGGTTCATTTGGTGCACAAAATGAATTTCTCTAAGGCGACCAGCCACACTTGCAGAATTTTCTTTGTGAATGGTCGCCTTACAGAGGGAATGTTCAATACCAAAATATACTTGTTTTCAGAAATACTGGTTTCTTTCAGAAGCAGTCGTCTTAGGGAGGTGGTTTTAGCCACGAGTTGGTTCTCTGAATAGACACACATACGCACTTACATTTCTGATATTACAAATAAACACCGGTATCAACCAACATCTCTTTAACGCGACCAAGTTCATATGGTGACGGCGTTCTTGTTAATGTTGTGCGATGTTTGTGTTATGGTCTTCGTGGATAGTACGCTGTAGTAATGCAATAAATGACTTACTATATTACAAATTTTACTGTGTTTTACTATTTACATATTAATAAGTAATAAAACACCAGCACTGACTGTGAATATGAAAGCAAATACCACTAAAACCATGCACATGTAATCGTGTCTAATGTTTGAGAGAACTTTGCTGATAGTTGACTAGTTCTGAAATGGAGTTTCTGTGCGTGAAATTGATTTTCCATCTTTACTTTTATCCTAAAAAGCAATGTGCTTAAAGACTGAAAAGGGTTAATTTCAGATTTCATAATTTGGTTCAGTGTGTTTAGATCAGATGCAGAAATATAGTTTTTGCGTTCTACTCAAACTGTATTTTTGAAAATTTGTTTTATTGATTACAGTTTAGAAATACTTTTTAAAGCTTGTTCATGTAGATGCTTTATCATTTGAATATTTTGTACTAATAAATTTGAGCATACCTTGATTAAAAATGATCTTGCATGATTCAATTTTAAATTTTTCGACTAATGTGATGTAGCCGAGCAAAAAGATTTTTTTTTTTTTTTTAAATATTTTAAAAAATGTACTAATTATATTTCGCGAGCAAAAAAGGTAAGTTTTATTAATGAAGTAAACATTGAAATATTTAATGTGTTTATTACTTATTGAATGGGGTAGACAAGACATACAAGCTTAAGGAATCTTTTTTCCACTACTAAAATTATGTGAAAATTTAGATGATCATAGTAGCTTACATTGTTTCTTCTTTTTGGTCTATTTTTACTTCCTTGTACGAAGTAAAAAAGAAGTATTGCAATCGCGAAAAGTTTCATGCAGCATATTTCAACGAAAATATCCCTTTTGACAGCTATCGAATGCAATTTAACGATGTTTTTGCGTGACATCTGTACGTAAGGACAGAATAAAAGACTTTTTTCCTCCAAAAAAATTATAAAACTGCTTTAAAATGAATTCTGAAGAGAATGTTTCGTGGCGTCTGTACGAACGTATGTACGTACGTACGTATCTCGCATAACTCAAAAACGAGTAGCCTCAGAACGTTGAAATTTTGTATATAGGACTGCTAGAACATGTAGATGTGCACCTCGTATTTTGGTTGCAATCGGCCGCACCAAACGTATATAAATATATTTATATACATATCCACTCTCTTACCCGGCTCAGTGATCTCAGTTTCTTTACTCTTATATGTTTGTAAATTGTACATTTTTTGCTTTAAAAATGATTGAATTATGTTGTTTTTATCTTCCGGTTATGGTTTTTATGCCTTTAGTAAATCTCTATGCAATATTTTTAGAATTATCAACAATTTTAAAGTTGTTTAAGTGCCGCTAAGCCTAATCCTTTTCTTGATGGCGGCCATTGTTTGTTTACATTTGAAACAGCAGACTAGTGGATTTGTTGCCAATCTGGAGAAACGTAGCTTCGCAACAACAAAGATACGCCTTCATTTATTATTGTGCCCAATTAAATCATTCCTTAATACTTTCTGGAATTTTTTCGAGGAAATAAGTGTTTAAAGATGTATTACTTCGTAATTTTTAA